TTTTAGAATATTCGTTTTCAGCTCTTGTCACTTCACTTGACATTTTATTGTCAACATATGTTTTGTCTGCTAGTTCAGGATGAGTATGTTCTTTTGTTGCATAAGCATTGTTAGCTCTTTCTTCTTCTTTTGCTATTGCATCGTCTACATATTCTTTGTCAGTTTTGTTGTCAACATCTGCTTTCAAAAGAAGTTCATTTATAGGTTTCTCGTTTAAAGTTCCTTTTGTTGGATTTATACAGACAGTATTGTTCTTATTGTATTGAAATAGAAACTCATCTGTCATTGGGTTTATTGTCAGTTTTAAGTCACCCCCTTTCAATGACTCAGATATCTTAGAATAGTTTGAAAAGTTTGTTGTGTTCTTATTTAGAGCTTGCATAATGAGTTGTCGGTTGTGTTGTATTTCTCTCATAGACGCTGTTTCATTTGACATTTTTATTATAGATAAAATATGCTTCCAATAGAAAAAGAAAATTCTAGAGTTGCTACAACTAAACCATTAGATGAACTTTTTACTAATGTCGGTCAAAAGTTTGAGACAGATACCGTAAAGCATGAAGGCTATCGTTTTGACTACCCATTAAGATGGTTAAGAGACCCATCCGTCACAAAAGCTATTGGCTTTCGTAGAATGAAGTTCATTTCAGAAGCCATACATGGTTTCCCATTTACGGTCGGTTTTGAAGTTCGATACTATAACAAAGAAAAACGTATGTATGAGAAATTTGAACAAGGAAAACTTTTACAAGTTAATTTGCTTATAAACTTAGAAACAACTCTTCAAGCTTTTCAAGAAAAAATAAACGATATCTATATTGAATATGCAAACCAGTTTAACATTGACGAAGGAGAATACCATCTCGATATTATTTATGACAGGAAAAATGCAACTGTTAAAATCAATAAAATAGAAGACCTTGGAGAAAACGTTTATATTTCTACAAAATATAACAACTTGGCATGGTATAGATTTATGAGTATGTTAAATCAGCCTGCAGCATATCCAGTACACCCGGACTATTATGAAGTCGAAAACCCTAATGGAACATATGAAAATATTTTCGACCCAGATGCTATTATTGTTCATGCTTCATTTTCTGGTGCGCAAAACTCTTTCTTATGTCTGATGAATGACTTTTACGAAAAACCTACAAAGTTATATGAACCGCCGAGTGGAAGTATTTCAGACTTTCAAGTATGGTTTACTACAGATGGAAGAAAAAGAATAATTCCATTATACCATGCGTTTTACTTAGAACTTAGTTTCATATACAACTACTATCGAACGATAAAAATATAACTTTTTAATATACCGGTTGTGGTTGCCAACTAGACTGTGGTGCAGGTTCAGGCTGTTGTATAACAGGAGCTTGCTCTTCTGGTTCAGGGTCTTTAGGTATAATACCAACGAACTGACCTACTCTTTTACCAATATTTTTGACACCGTTACATACTCCTCTTCCGACAGATTTTATTCCATTCCATATACCTCTTCCAACTCTTCTGAAGAAGTTTCCAATACTACTGAAGAAACCCATTTTACTATATGTAAAAATCTAATGTCCGCCTAGTCTCTTACGTTTCCTGTTGAGTTCCATAGCATTCTTTAACTGGAGCTCATACATTCTGTTTCTCCTCTGGTAGAAAACATATTCGGGGTCAACTCCTGTGTTCGCGTCATCTGCATAAAGTTGTTTATATCCCACTTCAGGGTTTGTATAAAACTCTTTCCATCTCATATTTGCATACCATGGTGGCAAACCTAACGCAGCGTCATTTGACATGGCAGTTTGCATTTGTACATCTGTTGGCACTTGACCATAGTTTGCCATTGCAGTTTGTATTCTAACTTCATTTGGAATATTCTCTGTGTTTGGTTGTCCAGGTTGCTGTGCATTCGCTAAGTTCTGTGCGTCCATTTAATATTAGATAAAAATATCTCTTACGAGTACATATGCTGAACATTTGCAGGCATTGGTTCATCTTCATATTCTCTGTACTTTTCTGCCACGTCAAATAAATAAATGACACAATGGAAAAAACCTAAAACAAGTAGTCCTATTTCAAACCACATTTACTTACTAATAAAATTTCTTTATTGTGACACTTTCTCCAGTTTATAGGACCTCTCTCATATTCTATCTTGTCATATATAAACTCATAGTCATGTATGTCCTCTAACCATCTCATAACGGTTTCCAAACCACTTTTATCGGATGTAAAGTAAAAGCATGGATGGTTATGTATAACGTCTAAAGTTTCTAAAGAGTCTCTCAAAGTCCAGTCTACTTGGTATTGAAAATCCCATGTGTTATAGAACGGCGGGTCCACTATAAAGAAAACATTTTCCTTGTCTTTATATTTTTCATACAAATCTGTCCAATGACATCTCACAAACTCTATACCCTCAATATATTTTTCTATGTCCTCTTTGAAAACATTTGTATAGTTAAGATATAAAACTTTTGACATAAGTGTTTCAATATCATGAACTCTTATAGCACCACTATATAATAGTCTAGCAGATATACTATCCCAGTCTATATATTCTGCTTTTTTCAAAACCTCTCTCACAATATTTTTCTTATCTAATGGTATACGTTCCATCTTACCTATAGGTATCTTTTCTTTTAACTCTTTCAATATATTGTTTGTGTCTGGAATATGTTTGAGACGGTCCATATAGTTGTCGAAGTCATTGCATATAATCTTTGAGTCTGGGAATATTGTATGACATAAATGGGATATATAGAAACTTCCACCGAACAAATCTACAAATGTTAGACCATTCGGTAGTTTCTTAAGTTCTCTCAATATAATATCTTTTCATCAAGATGCTTCCTCTCTTCTTCAAAGTACTTCCTCTCTTCATCATGCAGCTTCCTCTCTAAATCAAAGTGCTTCCTCTCTTCATCAAGGTGCTTCCTCTCTTGATCAAGATGCTTCCTCACTCCATCATGCAGCTTCCTCTCTTGATCAAGATGCTTCCTCTCTAAATCAAAGTGCTTCCTCTCTTCATCAAGGTGCTTCCTCGCTTCATCAAGATGCTTCCTCTCTTCAACAAAGTGCTTCCTCGCTTGATCAAGGTGCTTCCTCTCTTCATCATGCAGCTTCCTCTCTTCATCAAGGTGCTTCCTCTCTTGATCAAGATGCTTCCTCTCTAAATCAAAGTGCTTCCTCTCTTGATCAAGATGCTTCCTCTCTAAATCAAAGTGCTTCCTCTCTAAATCAAAGTGCTTCCTCTCTTGATCAAGATGCTTCCTCTCTAAATCAAAGTGCTTCCTCTCTTCATCAAGGTGCTTCCTCTCTTGATCAAGATGCTTCCTCACTCCATCATGCAGCTTCCTCTCTTGATCAAGATGCTTCCTCTCTAAATCAAAGTGCTTCCTCTCTTCATCAAGGTGCTTCCTCGCTTCATCAAGATGCTTCCTCTCTTCAACAAAGTCCTTCCTCGCTTGATCAAGGTGCTTCCTCTCTTCATCATGCAGCTTCCTCTCTTCATCAAGGTGCTTCCTCTCTTGATCAAGATGCTTCCTCTCTAAATCAAAGTGCTTCCTCTCTTGATCAAGATGCTTCCTCTCTAAATCAAAGTGCTTCCTCTCTAAATCAAAGTGCTTCCTCTCTTGATCAAGATGCTTCCTCTCTTGATCATGCAGCTTCCTCTCTTGATCAAGATGCTTCCTCTCTAAATCAAAGTGCTTCCTCTCTTCATCAAGGTGCTTCCTCTCTTGATCAAGATGCTTCCTCTCTTCATCAAGATGCTTCCTCTCTTCATCAAGGTGCTTCCTCTCTTCATCAAGATGCTTCCTCTCTTCTTCAAAGTACTTCCTCTCTTCATCATGCAGCTTCCTCTCTAAATCAAAGTGCTTCCTCTCTTCAACAAAGTGCTTCCTCGCTTGATCAAGGTGCTTCCTCACTCCATCATGCAGCTTCCTCTCTTGATCAAGATGCTTCCTCTCTAAATCAAAGTGCTTCCTCTCTTCATCAAGGTGCTTCCTCGCTTCATCAAGATGCTTCCTCTCTTCAACAAAGTGCTTCCTCGCTTGATCAAGGTGCTTCCTCTCTTCATCATGCAGCTTCCTCTCTTCATCAAGGTGCTTCCTCTCTTGATCAAGATGCTTCCTCTCTAAATCAAAGTGCTTCCTCTCTTGATCAAGATGCTTCCTCTCTAAATCAAAGTGCTTCCTCTCTAAATCAAAGTGCTTCCTCTCTTGATCAAGATGCTTCCTCTCTAAATCAAAGTGCTTCCTCTCTTCATCAAGGTGCTTCCTCTCTTGATCAAGATGCTTCCTCACTCCATCATGCAGCTTCCTCTCTTGATCAAGATGCTTCCTCTCTAAATCAAAGTGCTTCCTCTCTTCATCAAGGTGCTTCCTCGCTTCATCAAGATGCTTCCTCTCTTCAACAAAGTCCTTCCTCGCTTGATCAAGGTGCTTCCTCTCTTCATCATGCAGCTTCCTCTCTTCATCAAGGTGCTTCCTCTCTTGATCAAGATGCTTCCTCTCTAAATCAAAGTGCTTCCTCTCTTGATCAAGATGCTTCCTCTCTAAATCAAAGTGCTTCCTCTCTAAATCAAAGTGCTTCCTCTCTTGATCAAGATGCTTCCTCTCTTGATCATGCAGCTTCCTCTCTGGATCAAGATGCTTCCTCTCTAAATCAAAGTGCTTCCTCTCTTCATCAAGGTGCTTCCTCTCTTGATCAAGATGCTTCCTCTCTTCATCAAGATGCTTCCTCTCTTCATCAAGGTGCTTCCTCTCTTCATCAAGGTGCTTCCTCTCTTCTTCAAAGTACTTCCTCTCTTGATCATGCAGCTTCCTCTCTAAATCAAGATGCTTCCTCTCTTCATCAAGATGCTTCCTCTCTTGATCAAGATGCTTCCTCTCTAAATCAAAGTGCTTCCTCTCTTCATCAAGGTGCTTCCTCGCTTCATCAAGATGCTTCCTCTCTTCAACAAAGTGCTTCCTCGCTTGATCAAGGTGCTTCCTCGCTTCATCAAGATGCTTCCTCTCTTCATCAAGATGCTTCCTCTCTTCATCAAGGTGCTTCCTCTCTTCATCAAGATGCTTCCTCTCTTCTTCAAAGTACTTCCTCTCTTCATCATGCAGCTTCCTCTCTAAATCAAAGTGCTTCCTCGCTTGATCAAGGTGCTTCCTCTCTTGATCAAGATGCTTCCTCACTCCATCATGCAGCTTCCTCGCTTCATCAAGATGCTTCCTCTCTTGATCAAAGTACTTCCTCTCTTGATCAAGGTGCTTCCTCTCTTCATCAAGATGCTTCCTCTCTTGATCAAGATGCTTCCTCTCTAAATCAAAGTGCTTCCTCTCTAAATCAAAGTGCTTCCTCTCTTGATCAAGATGCTTCCTCACTCCATCATGCAGCTTCCTCTCTTGATCAAGATGCTTCCTCTCTAAATCAAAGTGCTTCCTCTCTTCATCAAGGTGCTTCCTCGCTTCATCAAGATGCTTCCTCTCTTCAACAAAGTGCTTCCTCGCTTGATCAAGGTGCTTCCTCTCTTCATCATACAGCTTCCTCTCTTCATCAAGGTGCTTCCTCTCTTGATCAAGATGCTTCCTCTCTAAATCAAAGTGCTTCCTCTCTAAATCAAAGTGCTTCCTCTCTTGATCAAGATGCTTCCTCTCTTGATCATGCAGCTTACTCTCTTGATCAAGGTGCTTCCTCTCTTCATCAAGGTGCTTCCTCTCTTGATCAAGATGCTTCCTCTCTAAATCAAAGTGCTTCCTCTCTTGATCAAGATGCTTCCTCTCTTGATCAAGATGCTTCCTCTCTTCATCAAGATGCTTCCTCTCTTCATCAAGGTGCTTCCTCTCTTCTTCAAAGTACTTCCTCTCTTCATCATGCAGCTTCCTCTCTAAATCAAAGTGCTTCCTCTCTTCATCAAGGTGCTTCCTCTCTTGATCAAGATGCTTCCTCACTCCATCATGCAGCTTCCTCTCTTGATCAAGATGCTTCCTCTCTAAATCAAAGTGCTTCCTCTCTTCATCAAGGTGCTTCCTCGCTTCATCAAGATGCTTCCTCTCTAAATCAAAGTGCTTCCTCGCTTGATCAAGGTGCTTCCTCTCTTCATCATGCAGCTTCCTCTCTTGATCAAGGTGCTTCCTCTCTTGATCAAGATGCTTCCTCTCTTCATCAAGGTGCTTCCTCTCTTGATCAAGATGCTTCCTCTCTAAATCAAAGTGCTTCCTCTCTAAATCAAAGTGCTTCCTCTCTTGATCAAGATGCTTCCTCTCTTCATCATGCAGCTTACTCTCTTGATCAAGGTGCTTCCTCTCTTCATCAAGGTGCTTCCTCTCTTGATCAAGATGCTTCCTCTCTTCAACAAAGTGCTTCCTCTCTTGATCAAGATGCTTCCTCTCTTGATCAAGATGCTTCCTCTCTTCATCAAGGTGCTTCCTCTCTTGATCAAGATGCTTCCTCACTCCATCATGCAGCTTCCTCTCTTCATCAAGATGCTTCCTCTCTTCAACAAAGTCCTTCCTCGCTTGATCAAGGTGCTTCCTCTCTTCATCATGCGGCTTCCTCTCTTCATCAAGGTGCTTCCTCTCTTGATCAAGATGCTTCCTCTCTAAATCAAAGTGCTTCCTCTCTTGATCAAGATGCTTCCTCTCTAAATCAAAGTGCTTCCTCTCTAAATCAAAGTGCTTCCTCTCTTGATCAAGATGCTTCCTCTCTAAATCAAAGTGCTTCCTCTCTAAATCAAAGTGCTTCCTCTCTTGATCAAGATGCTTCCTCTCTTGATCATGCAGCTTACTCTCTTGATCAAGGTGCTTCCTCTCTTGATCAAGATGCTTCCTCTCTTCATCAAGGTGCTTCCTCTCTTCTTCAAAGTACTTCCTCTCTTGATCAAGATGCTTCCTCTCTTGATCAAGGTGCTTCCTCTCTTCATCAAGGTGCTTCCTCGCTTCATCAAGATGCTTCCTCTCTAAATCAAAGTGCTTCATCGCTTCATCAAGATGCTTCCTCTCTTGATCAAGATGCTTCCTCACTCCATCATGCAGCTTCCTCTCTTGATCAAGATGCTTCCTCTCTAAATCAAAGTGCTTCCTCGCTTGATCAAGGTGCTTCCTCTCTTCATCATGCAGCTTCCTCTCTTGATCAAGGTGCTTCCTCTCTTGATCAAAGTGCTTCCTCGCTTGAGCAAGGTGCTTCCTCTCTTCATCATGCAGCTTCCTCTCTTCATCAAGATGCTTCCTCTCTTCAACAAAGTGCTTCCTCGCTTGATCAAGATGCTTCCTCACTCCATCATGCAGCTTCCTCTCTTCATCAAGGTGCTTCCTCTCTTCATCAAGATGCTTCCTCTCTTCAACAAAGTGCTTCCTCGCTTGATCAAGGTGCTTCCTCACTCCATCATGCAGCTTCCTCTCTTGATCAAGATGCTTCCTCTCTAAATCAAAGTGCTTCCTCTCTTCATCAAGGTGCTTCCTCGCTTCATCAAGATGCTTCCTCTCTTCAACAAAGTGCTTCCTCGCTTGATCAAGGTGCTTCCTCTCTTCATCATGCAGCTTCCTCTCTTCATCAAGGTGCTTCCTCTCTTGATCAAGATGCTTCCTCTCTAAATCAAAGTGCTTCCTCTCTTGATCAAGATGCTTCCTCTCTAAATCAAAGTGCTTCCTCTCTTGATCAAGATGCTTCCTCTCTTCATCAAGGTGCTTCCTCTCTTGATCAAGATGCTTCCTCTCTAAATCAAAGTGCTTCCTCTCTAAATCAAAGTGCTTCCTCTCTTGATCAAGATGCTTCCTCTCTTGATCATGCAGCTTACTCTCTTGATCAAGGTGCTTCCTCTCTTCATCAAGGTGCTTCCTCGCTTCATCAAGATGCTTCCTCTCTTCAACAAAGTGCTTCCTCGCTTGATCAAGGTGCTTCCTCTCTTCATCATACAGCTTCCTCTCTTCATCAAGGTGCTTCCTCTCTTGATCAAGATGCTTCCTCTCTAAATCAAAGTGCTTCCTCTCTTCATCAAGGTGCTTCCTCTCTTGATCAAGATGCTTCCTCTCTTCATCAAGATGCTTCCTCTCTTCATCAAGGTGCTTCCTCTCTTCATCAAGGTGCTTCCTCTCTTCTTCAAAGTACTTCCTCTCTTCATCATGCAGCTTCCTCTCTAAATCAAGATGCTTCCTCTCTTCATCAAGATGCTTCCTCTCTTGATCAAGATGCTTCCTCTCTAAATCAAAGTGCTTCCTCTCTTCATCAAGGTGCTTCCTCGCTTCATCAAGATGCTTCCTCTCTTCAACAAAGTGCTTCCTCGCTTGATCAAGGTGCTTCCTCGCTTCATCAAGATGCTTCCTCTCTTCAACAAAGTGCTTCCTCGCTTGATCAAGGTGCTTCCTCTCTTCATCATGCAGCTTCCTCTCTTCATCAAGGTGCTTCCTCTCTTGATCAAGATGCTTCCTCTCTTCAACAAAGTGCTTCCTCGCTTGATCAAGGTGCTTCCTCTCTTCATCATGCGGCTTCCTCTCTTCATCAAGGTGCTTCCTCTCTTGATCAAGATGCTTCCTCTCTAAATCAAAGTGCTTCCTCTCTTGATCAAGATGCTTCCTCTCTAAATCAAAGTGCTTCCTCTCTAAATCAAAGTGCTTCCTCTCTTGATCAAGATGCTTCCTCTCTTCAACAAAGTGCTTCCTCTCTTGATCAAGATGCTTCCTCTCTAAATCAAAGTGCTTCCTCTCTTGATCAAGATGCTTCCTCTCTTGATCAAGATGCTTCCTCTCTTCAACAAAGTGCTTCCTCTCTTGATCAAGATGCTTCCTCTCTAAATCAAAGTGCTTCCTCTCTTCATCAAGGTGCTTCCTCTCTTCATCAAGGTGCTTCCTCTCTTCATCAAGGTGCTTCCTCTCTTCTTCAAAGTACTTCCTCTCTTCATCATGCAGCTTCCTCTCTAAATCAAGATGCTTCCTCTCTTCATCAAGATGCTTCCTCTCTTCTTCAAAGTACTTCCTCTCTTCATCAAGATGCTTCCTCTCTTCAACAAAGTGCTTCCTCTCTTGATCAAGATGCTTCCTCTCTTGATCAAGGTGCTTCCTCGCTTGATCAAGGTGCTTCCTCTCTTCATCAAGGTGCTTCCTCGCTTCATCAAGATGCTTCCTCTCTTCAACAAAGTGCTTCCTCGCTTGATCAAGGTGCTTCCTCTCTTCATCATGCAGCTTCCTCTCTTCATCAAGGTGCTTCCTCTCTTCATCAAGGTGCTTCCTCTCTTCTTCAAAGTACTTCCTCTCTTCATCATGCAGCTTCCTCTCTAAATCAAGATGCTTCCTCTCTTCATCAAGATGCTTCCTCTCTTCAACAAAGTGCTTCCTCGCTTGATCAAGGTGCTTCCTCTCTTCATCATGCAGCTTCCTCTCTTCATCAAGATGCTTCCTCTCTTCAACAAAGTGCTTCCTCGCTTGATCAAGGTGCTTCCTCGCTTCATCAAGATGCTTCCTCTCTTCAACAAAGTGCTTCCTCGCTTGATCAAGGTGCTTCCTCTCTTCATCAAGATGCTTCCTCTCTTCAACAAAGTGCTTCCTCTCTTGATCAAGATGCTTCCTCTCTAAATCAAAGTGCTTCCTCTCTAAATCAAAGTGCTTCCTCTCTTGATCAAGATGCTTCCTCTCTTCATCATGCAGCTTACTCTCTTGATCAAGGTGCTTCCTCTCTTCATCAAGGTGCTTCCTCTCTTGATCAAGATGCTTCCTCTCTTCAACAAGTGCTTCCTCTCTTGATCAAGATGCTTCCTCTCTATCAAGTGCTTCCTCTCTTCATCAAGATGCTTCCTCTCTTCATCAAGGTGCTTCCTCTCTTCATCAAAGTGCTTCCTCTCTTCATCAAGGTGCTTCCTCTCTTCATCAAGGTGCTTCCTCTCTTCATCAAGGTGCTTCCTCTCTTCATCAAGTGCTTCCTCTCTTCTTCAAGTACTTCCTCTCTTCATCATGCAGCTTCCTCTCTAAATCAAGATGCTTCCTCTTTTCATCAAGGTGCTTCCTCTCTTCATCAAGGTGCTTCCTCTCTTCTTCAAAGTACTTCCTCTCTTCATCATGCAGCTTCCTCTCTAAATCAAGATGCTTCCTCTCTTCATCAAGATGCTTCCTCTCTTCTTCAAAGTACTTCCTCTCTTCATCAAGATGCTTCCTCTCTTCAACAAAGTGCTTCCTCTCTTGATCAAGATGCTTCCTCTCTTGATCAAGGTGCTTCCTCGCTTGATCAAGGTGCTTCCTCTCTTCATCAAGGTGCTTCCTCGCTTCATCAAGATGCTTCCTCTCTTCAACAAAGTGCTTCCTCGCTTGATCAAGGTGCTTCCTCTCTTCATCATGCAGCTTCCTCTCTTCATCAAGGTGCTTCCTCTCTTAATCAAGATGCTTCCTCTCTTCATCAAGGTGCTTCCTCTCTTCATCAAGGTGCTTCCTCTCTTCAACAAAGTGCTTCCTCTCTTGATCAAGATGCTTGCTCACTCCATCATGCAGCTTCCTCTCTTGATCAAGATGCTTCCTCTCTAAATCAAAGTGCTTCCTCTCTTCATCAAGGTGCTTCCTCGCTTCATCAAGATGCTTCCTCTCTTCAACAAAGTGCTTCCTCTCTTCATCATGCAGCTTCCTCACTCCATCATGCAGCTTACTCTCTTCATCAAGGTGCTTCCTCTCTTGATCAAGATGCTTCCTCTCTAAATCAAAGTGCTTCCTCTCTTGATCAAGATGCTTCCTCTCTAAATCAAAGTGCTTCCTCTCTAAATCAAAGTGCTTCCTCTCTTCATCAAGATGCTTCCTCTCTTCAACAAAGTGCTTCCTCGCTTGATCAAGGTGCTTCCTCACTCCATCATGCAGCTTCCTCTCTTGATCAAGATGCTTCCTCTCTAAATCAAGATGCTTCCTCTCTTCATCAAGGTGCTTCCTCTCTTGATCAAGATGCTTCCTCTCTAAATCAAAGTGCTTCCTCTCTTGATCAAGATGCTTCCTCTCTAAATCAAAGTGCTTCCTCTCTTCATCAAGATGCTTCCTCTCTTCATCAAGGTGCTTCCTCTCTTCATCAAGGTGCTTCCTCTCTTCTTCAAAGTACTTCCTCTCTTCATCATGCAGCTTCCTCTCTAAATCAAGATGCTTCCTCTCTTCATCAAGATGCTTCCTCTCTTCAACAAAGTGCTTCCTCTCTTCTTCAAAGTACTTCCTCTCTTCATCATGCAGCTTCCTCTCTAAATCAAGATGCTTCCTCTCTTGATCAAGATGCTTCCTCTCTAAATCAAAGTGCTTCCTCTCTTGATCAAGATGCTTCCTCTCTAAATCAAAGTGCTTCCTCTCTTCATCAAGGTGCTTCCTCTCTTCATCAAGATGCTTCCTCTCTTCATCAAGGTGCTTCCTCTCTTGATCAAGATGCTTCCTCTCTAAATCAAAGTGCTTCCTCTCTTGATCAAGATGCTTCCTCTCTAAATCAAGATGCTTCCTCTCTTCATCAAGATGCTTCCTCTCTTGATCAAGATGCTTCCTCTCTCCATCATGCAGCTTCCTCTCTTGATCAAGATGCTTCCTCTCTAAATCAAAGTGCTTCCTCTCTTCATCAAGGTGCTTCCTCGCTTCATCAAGATGCTTCCTCTCTTCAACAAAGTGCTTCCTCGCTTGATCAAGTGCTTCCTCTCTTCATTTCATGCAGCTTCCTCTCTTCATCAAGGTGCTTCCTCTCTTGATCAAGATGCTTCCTCTCTAAATCAAAGTGCTTCCTCTCTTAAATCAAGTGCTTCCTCTCTTGATCAAGTGCTTCCTCTCTTCATCATGCAGCTTACTCTCTTGATCAAGGTGCTTCCTCTCTTCATCAAGGTGCTTCCTCTCTTGATCAAGATGCTTCCTCTCTTCAACAAAGTGCTTCCTCTCTTCATCAAGGTGCTTCCTCTCTTGATCAAGATGCTTCCTCTCTTCATCAAGGTGCTTCCTCTCTTGATCAAGATGCTTCCTCTCTTCATCAAGGTGCTTCCTCTCTTGATCAAGATGCTTCCTCTCTAAATCAAAGTGCTTCCTCTCTTCATCAAGGTGCTTCCTCGCTTCATCAGATGCTTCTCTCTTCAATCAAAGTGCTTCCTCGCTTGATCAAGGTGCTTCCTCTCTTCATCATGCAGCTTCCTCTCTTCATCAAGGTGCTTCCTCTCTTGATCAAGATGCTTCCTCTCTAAATCAAAGTGCTTCCTCTCTAAATCAAAGTGCTTCCTCTCTTGATCAAGATGCTTCCTCTCTTCATCATGCAGCTTACTCTCTTGATCAAGGTGCTTCCTCTCTTCATCAAGTGCTTCCTCTCTTGATCAAGATGCTTCCTCTTTCAACAAAGTGCTTCCTCTCTTCATCAAGGTGCTTCCTCTCTTGATCAATGCTTCCTCTCTTCATCAAGGTGCTTCCTCTCTTGATCAAGATGCTTCCTCTCTTCATCAAGGTGCTTCCTCTCTTGATCAAGATGCTTCCTCTCTAATCAAAGTGCTTCCTCTCTTCATCAAGGTGCTTCCTCGCTTCATCAAGATGCTTCCTCGCTTGATCAAGGTGCTTCCTCTCTTCATCATGCAGCTTCCTCTCTTGATCAAGGTGCTTCCTCTCTTGATCAAGGTGCTTCCTCTCTAAATCAAAGTGCTTCCTCTCTTCATCAAGGTGCTTCCTCGCTTCATCAAGATGCTTCCTCTCTTCAACAAGTGCTTCCTCTCTTGATCAAGGTGCTTCCTCTCTTCATCATGCAGCTTCCTCTCTTCATCAAGGTGCTTCCTCTCTTGATCAAGTGCTTCCTCTCTAAATCAAGTGCTTCCTCTCTCATCAAAGTGCTTCCTCTCTTCATCATGCAGCTTCTCTCTTGATCAAAGTGCTTCCTCTCTTCATCAGATGCTTCCTCTCTTCATCAAGGTGCTTCCTCCTCTTGATCAAGATGCTTCCTCTCTTCATCAAGGTGCTTCCTCTCTTCATCAAGTGCTTCTCTCTTCTTCAAAGTCTTCCTCTCTTGATCAAGATGCTTCCTCTCTTCATCAAGGTGCTTCCTCTCTTCTTCAAAGTATTCCTCGCTTGATCAGGTGCTTCCTCTCTTCATCATGGCTTCTCTCTTCATCAGATGCTTCCTCTCTTCAACAAAGTGCTTCCTCGCTTGATCAAGGTGCTTCCCACTCCATCATGCAGCTTCCTCTCTTCATCAAGGTGCTTCCTCTCTTCAACAAAGTGCTTCCTCGCTTGATCAAGGTGCTTCCTCACTCCATCATGCAGCTTCCTCTCTTCAACAAAGTGCTTCCTCGCTTGATCAAGATGCTTCCTCTCTTCATCATGCAGCTTCCTCTCTTCATCAAGATGCTTCCTCTCTTCAACAAAGTGCTTCCTCGCTTGATCAAGGTGCTTCCTCACTCCATCATGCAGCTTCCTCTCTTGATCAAGGTGCTTCCTCTCTTGATCAAGATGCTTCCTCTCTTCATCAAGGTGCTTCCTCCCTTGATCAAGATGCTTCCTCTCTTCATCAAGGTGCTTCCTCTCTTCATCAAGGTGCTTCCTCTCTTCATCAAGGTGCTTCCTCTCTTCATCAAGGTGCTTCCTCTCTTCTTCAAAGTACTTCCTCTCTTGATCAAGATGCTTCCTCTCTTCATCAAGGTGCTTCCTCTCTTCTTCAAAGTACTTCCTCGCTTGATCAAGGTGCTTCCTCTCTTCATCATGCAGCTTCCTCTCTTCATCAAGATGCTTCCTCTCTTCAACAAAGTGCTTCCTCGCTTGATCAAGGTGCTTCCTCACTCCATCATGCAGCTTCCTCTCTTCATCAAGTGGTGCTCTCTTTCAACAAAGTGCTTCCTCGCTTGATCAAGGTGCTTCCCACTCCATCATGCAGCTTCCTCTCTTCAACAAAGTGCTTCCTCGCTTGATCAAGATGCTTCCTCTCTTCATCATGCAGCTTCCTCTCTTCATCAAGATGCTTCCTCTCTTCAACAAAGTGCTTCCTCGCTTGATCAAGGTGCTTCCTCACTCCATCATGCAGCTTCCTCTCTTCATCAAGGTGCTTCCTCTCTTCATCAAGATGCTTCCTCTCTTCAACAAAGTGCTTCCTCGCTTGATCAAGGTGCTTCCTCACTCCATCATGCAGCTTCCTCTCTTGATCAAGATGCTTCCTCTAAATCAAGTGCTTCCTCTCTTCATCAAGGTGCTTCCTCGCTTCATCAAGATGCTTCCTCTCTTCAACAAAGTGCTTCCTCGCTTGATCAAGGTGCTTCCTCTCTTCATCATGCAGCTTCCTCTCTTGATCAAGATGCTTCCTCTCTTGATCAAGATGCTTCCTCTCTTGATCAAGGTGCTTCCTCTCTTCATCAAGGTGCTTCCTCTCTTCATCATGCAGCTTCCTCACTCCATCATGCAGCTTACTCTCTTCATCAAGGTGCTTCCTCTCTTGATCAAGATGCTTCCTCTCTTCATCAAGGTGCTTCCTCTCTTGATCAAGGTGCTTCCTCGCTTGATCAAGGTGCTTCCTCACTCCATCATGCAGCTTCCTCTCTTGATCAAGATGCTTCCTCTCTAAATCAAAGTGCTTCCTCTCTTCATCAAGGTGCTTCCTCGCTTCATCAGATGCTTCCTCTCTTCAACAAGTGCTTCTCGCTTGATCAAGGTGCTTCCTCTCTTCATCATGCAGCTTCCTCTCTTGATCAAGATGCTTCCTCTCTTGATCAAGATGCTTCCTCTCTTGATCAAGGTGCTTCCTCTCTTCATCAAGGTGCTTCCTCTCTTCATCATGCAGCTTCCTCACTCCATCATGCAGCTTACTCTCTTCATCAAGGTGCTTCCTCTCTTGATCAAGATGCTTCCTCTCTTCATCAAGGTGCTTCCTCTCTTGATCAAGATGCTTCCTCTCTTCATCAAGGTGCTTCCTCTCTTCATCAAGATGCTTCCTCTCTTCATCAAGGTGCTTCCTCTCTTCATCAAAGTGCTTCCTCTCTTCATCAAGGTGCTTCCTCTCTTCATCAAGGTGCTTCCTCTCTTCATCAAGGTGCTTCCTCTCTTCTTCAAAGTACTTCCTCTCTTCATCAAGATGCTTCCTCTCTTGATCAAGGTGCTTCCTCGCTTGATCAAGGTGCTTCCTCTCTTCATCATGCAGCTTCCTCTCTTCATCAAGATGCTTCCTCTCTTCAACAAAGTGCTTCCTCTCTTCATCAAGGTGCTTCCTCTCTTGATCAAGGTGCTTCCTCTCTTCATCAAGGTGCTTCCTCTCTTCATCAAGGTGCTTCCTCTCTTGATCAAGATGCTTCCTCTCTAAATCAAAGTGCTTCCTCTCTTGATCAAGATGCTTCCTCTCTAAATCAAAGTGCTTCCTCTCTTCATCAAGGTGCTTCCTCTCTTCATCAAGGTGCTTCCTCTCTTCATCAAGGTGCTTCCTCTCTTGATCAAGGTGCTTCCTCTCTAAATCAAAGTGCTTCCTCTCTTCATCAAGGTGCTTCCTCTCTTCATCATGCAGCTTCCTCACTCCATCATGCAGCTTACTCTCTTGATCAAGGTGCTTCCTCTCTAAATCAAAGTGCTTCCTCTCTTCATCAAGGTGCTTCCTCGCTTCATCAAGATGCTTCCTCTCTTCAACAAAGTGCTTCCTCTCTTGATCAAGGTGCTTCCTCTCTTGATCAAGATGCTTCCTCTCTAAATCAAAGTGCTTCCTCTCTAAATCAAAGTGCTTCCTCTCTTGATCAAGGTGCTTCCTCGCTTCATCAAGATGCTTCCTCTCTTCAACAAAGTGCTTCCTCTTTGATCAAGTGCTTCCTCTCTTGATCAAGATGCTTCCTCTCTAAATCAAAGTGCTTCCTCTCTAAATCAAAGTGCTTCCTCTCTTGATCAAGATGCTTCCTCTCATCAAGTGCTTCCTCTCTTGATCAAGATGCTTCCTCTCTAATCAAAGTGCTTCCTCTCTTCATCAAGGTGCTTCCTCTCTTCATCAAGGTGCTTCCTCTCTTGATCAAGGTGCTTCCTCTCTTGATCAAGGTGCTTCCTCTCTTCATCAAGGTGCTTCCTCTCTTCATCATGCAGCTTCCTCACTCCATCATGCAGCTTCCTCACTCCATCATGCAGCTTACTCTCTTCATCAAGATGCTTCCTCTCTTCATCAAGGTGCTTCCTCTCTTCATCAAGGTGCTTCCTCTCTTCATCAAGATCTTCCTCTCTTCATCAAGGTGCTTCCTCTCTTCATCAGAGGTGCTTCCTCTCTTCATCAAGGTGCTTCTCTCTTCATCAAGGTGCTTCCTCTCTTCATCAAGGTGCTTCCTCTCTTCATCAAGGTGCTTCCTCTCTTCTTCAAAGTATTCCTTCTTCTTGATCAAGGTGCTTCCTCTCTTGATCAAGGTGCTTCCTCTCTTGATCAAGGTGCTTCCTCTCTTCATCAAGATGCTTCCTCTCTTCATCAAAGTGCTTCCTCTCTTCATCAAGGTGCTTCCTCTCTTCATCAAGGTGCTTCCTCTCTTCATCAAGGTGCTTCCTCTCTTCATCAAGGTGCTTCCTCTCTTCATCAAGGTGCTTCCTCTCTTCTTCAAAGTACTTCCTCTCTTCATCAAGATGCTTCCTCTCTTGATCAAGGTGCTTCCTCTCTTCATCAAGGTGCTTCCTCTCTTCATCAAGGTGCTTCCTCTCTAAATCAAAGTGCTTCCTCTCTTCTTCAAAGTACTTCCTCTCTTCAACAAAGTGCTTCCTCTCTTCATCAAGGTGCTTCCTCTCTTCATCAAGGTGCTTCCTCTCTTCTTCAAAGTACTTCCTCTCTTGATCAAGATGCTTCCTCTCTTGATCAAGGTGCTTCCTCGCTTCATCAAGGTGCTTCCTCTCTTGATCAAGATGCTTCCTCTCTTCATCAAGGTGCTTCCTCTCTAAATCAAAGTGCTTCCTCTCTTCAACAAAGTGCTTCCTCTCTAAATCAAAGTGCTTCCTCTCTTCAACAAAGTGCTTCCTCTCTTCTTCAAAGTACTTCCTCTCTTGATCAAGGTGCTTCCTCTCTTCATCAAGGTGCTTCCTCTCTAAATCAAAGTGCTTCCTCTCTTGATCAAGATGCTTCCTCTCTTGATCAAGGTGCTTCCTCTCTTCATCAAGGTGCTTCCTCTCTAAATCAAAGTGCTTCCTCTCTTCAACAAAGTGCTTCCTCTCTTCTTCAAAGTACTTCCTCTCTTGATCAAGGTGCTTCCTCTCTTCATCAAGGTGCTTCCTCTCTAAATCAAAGTGCTTCCTCTCTTGATCAAGATGCTTCCTCTCTAAATCAAAGTGCTTCCTCTCTAAATCAAAGTGCTTCCTCTCTTGATCAAGATGCTTCCTCTCTTGATCAAGGTGCTTCCTCTCTTCATCAAGGTGCTTCCTCTCTAAATCAAAGTGCTTCCTCTCTTCAACAAAGTGCTTCCTCTCTTCTTCAAAGTACTTCCTCTCTTGATCAAGGCTTCCTCTCTTCATCAAGCTTCCTCTCTATCAAAGTGCTTCCTCTCTTGATCAAGAGCTTCCTCTCTTATCAAGTGCTTCCTCTCTTCATCAAGTGCTTCCTCTCTTCATCAAGGTGCTTCCTCTCTAAATCAAAGTGCTTCCTCTCTTCAACAAAGTGCTTCCTCTCTTCTTCAAAGTACTTCCTCTCTTGATCAAGGTGCTTCCTCTCTTCATCAAGATGCTTCCTCACTCCATTATGCAGCTGCTTCTTTTCTTCATCAATTCCTCTTCACCCTGGAGCTCCTCAGCTTTATATCATTTTAATTGGATTTTTTGAAATCCACCTGCAGTAGGATAAAGGAGATGTAACTCACGACTAAGAACCTGGCCATATGCTCCATTCCAGGCCAAAACAGATTGCATAGCTACAAACAGATTGAAATACCAATCCTGTTGCTGCATGGGGCGTCCATATTCCATTTGGAAGACTTGCATCATCACATTTGGATCTGTAAGGACTTTGTCGTTGACAAAATTGGGCCTTGCAGGAGGAACTCCATTTGCTACAATGTATCTGGAAGCAAGAGGTTTGTTCATATCCAATGGATAGATTCCTGTTGCTTTAAAAGCATTTTCGATGTTTGTAGCTGTGCAAGACACACTACATGCATCAAGGAAGCTGCGAACCATGATATAGCGCAGTTCTCTGGCGTTCCATACATAATTGATCACCATATGCCCTTGCTGATCGTACCGGATAGTCGCCATATCAAACAACTTCTTGAATTGGGCCTTCAAGGGAGAAAAAATCCCAACATCAAGAGGTTGTAAGATATGAGATGTATGGCCTGGGAGAACAAGAAGCTCGATATTGAAGGCGCTCAAGAGGCGAACGGCCAAGAAAGAGAGCCTGGATGGATGACCATCTACAATTAGGAGAAAAGGTACCTGGGCATCAAACACATTCATTTGAGACCTTTTCTCCTGTACTTTGCAGATGAACATGATACAGTATACCATAAAAAGGTATTTGTTCATCCATCCACTCTCGGAGCGAACAAAAAAGGCGTCCAGATCTTCCAATTCCGCATCAAGGGTCTTCTTTTGTGGAAGTATCACCATTGGCTTCATAGTTGTACCATCTGCAAAGATGGTACAGACCCCTGTAAGATGTGGAAGCTGAGACTTTTCAGCGCGAACTGGGCGATTCCGGCCAGCAGTAAGAACTTTATAGCGACGTTTGGAATAGAGCATTGTCTCGTCCATATTCGCAATAAACTTCTTCCTGCGGGCAAAGTATCTATGCTTGGAGAGGAAAAATTGGCGAATATGGTTTGCGTCACAGGTAGAGCGTCGGAGCATATCAATAGTTTGGGAGCTCACAATCCGAATTGACAATCTTGTGGCGATATGATTAAGCCAGCCACGGGATGGCGATGGGCAGTAATCATCGAGCTTCGCTAGAAGATGCGGGCATCTTGCAGCGATTAGTACCCGCGCCGCAAATTTTAATCTCCTATTTTGTAATTCCGTACAGACAGCAATGGCCATTGATGTTGTAATACAGTTCAAGTCGTCTGCCATCTCTTGAACAAGTTTTTTGAACTGCATTTCATCTGGTAGTGACAAAAGGGTCATACCACCCCCTGACTGACCTTTTGTCCATGAACGACAAGTAGCAGTGCGCATGATTGCGCGTGCTACTGTCGTCTTTGAAATTGAGTAAACATTCCGTATTTGTTGATAAGACTCGCCATTTACTCTTCGATAGAGTAAATCGAGTTGCATCTGGGTCAATAGCCCAAGATTTTTATAGTTTTCTAATTCTGCAAACTCGGGAATTCGTGTTCTTGGTTGCATTTTTTTTAAACGGGAACTTCACAAATTTGGTTCATGGCCATAAAAACTCATTCAATTTTTCTGAGATTTTTTTTCGTCACTCACTCAAAACGCAGAGGACCATTCTTCTCAAAATTGAATTATTTTCTCAAAGATTGAGTGAGTAAAATGGGCACGTTGTGTAAATTGATTCAAAATTTTTTATTGGTACACGACCTTTGAAATTGGTCTCGGGCTATTCAACCTACGGTATTCAAAATTTTGTAAATTGAGAGGAATTTTATAAATCTAATTATCGCTGTATATAGAACCCATTCATGTAAATCTCGATGAAAAAAAATTGAGATGAGTTCTCATTTTCCGACATATGATGAAACGCTTTTCTTCAATGTCTGAGTTCATTCTTTAAAAAATTAAATTATTATACGAATTTTTGCAGACTTTTCAGAGAATTGAGCTCCCATTCAATTCTCTGAAATAGTCTGTTAAAATTTAGTATCTTAAGCCCATTTCAATATAAGCTCCATTTTTAAATACATTTTAAATATCGAGCATTGAAAACTGGGTTAAGATAAACAAATCTTTGCATACTTTTTAACTGTTGATAAAATCGTTCTTAAATCTCGAGCAATATCGATTTTATCGTATATATCACAATACGAAGGAGTTATTTGTTGTTTCGGTGATTCAGATATCCTCAGAAGTATAATGAATTTCTTATTATATGAGGGAAAAGACAGTCTAGAAGATGTCTTTAACGCAGCTAAGATTCTTACTGGAGCCATTCATCTAGTTAACGACGAAATGAAAATTTTGCCGCAATCCTTTGATGTATTTTTTGATCTTTGTGAACCTGGGTTAATCTCAGAGTTTCTTGCTGAACTAGTATACACACATCCAGACACTCCGGCTCTTGAACCAATAATGCAATTCATTTTTGATGATGATCATGTCAATGATGAAACGTTAATGTATTCAATTAGAATCATGAAAGGTATTGTATTCAAGGACCCATCAAGAATTGAATATTTTATGCATAACAAAAAAGTTGGAACTGCAAATTCCTTTTTAAAGGATCTTCTTGATAATATGGGCGATTCTGATGAATTTTCATCGGAGTTTATGGAGATTTTTAGCGAATGTCTGATCAAACAATGCAATCATGTTGACGAATTAATTGGACTTTTATTTGAATATAAGTTCATTGAGTTTGCGTTTGAACTGTTAAGCCAAGATTATGTTCTTGATGATCGAAAGTGCATAGTTGCTCAGTTTCTCGTAAGTTGCTTTCAAAACAGTTCATTACATGATGAGGTAATAAAACATATCAGACAAGGAATATATATTAATCTATGTCAATATCTTAGTTCTTGTCCATCAATTCTTAAAGAACCACTTCTCATGATAATTTCACATGTTATCAAAAACGATGGATATTTAGCAATAAGATATTCGGTCGAAAACAACATACTTGAAAATCTTGAAGATTTGATTAAAGTATGTCCATCAGTAACAATAACATGTCTCGAATCAATTTTTCAATATTCTGCTGAAGGATTTTTCAGAGATGAAATTAAATTATGCTATTATGATTAAATAAAACTTTGAAATGTAATGTTGAATTCTGGTTTATTAGGATGGGATTTGAAGAATTTACAATTTTCATATAAAAATCATTTTTGCACTATTCGCTAATAAATAATAACACGTTATTAAATTGAATTTTGAATTTCTTTTTAATACATTATATAGAGGTGATAGGTGTTTCGTACTGGCATCTTTTACATATATTTACCAATCCTGCAAAGTTATATCCAATTGATGAATGTTGCAAATCAAATCAAATACCATATATAATTTTTACCAAAATTATTTTAGGTATTGGTATAGCAATTTGGTTTATATTCAAACATCATCTTAACAAATGAAAATATTTTATTTGTAATTAATTTGATTAATTTAATAGCAGTATAGGCTTATTATGAACATAATTTCAAACTTACAGCATATAGGACATTTATGATCTTTTATCATTTTTTGCAATTCTGTAATGCATGAAAATTCGGTTCACTTCATTTTTGACACTTTACATATCGGATGTATTATCTAATTATATTACGAAATTCTTCCCGATAAAACAATGAAATCAACTTCAAAAGCTTTACAAAATGCTATCGACTCTATCAAAATTATTCCATACGAACTTTTGACAGATAATGGATGCGAATTTACAGGAAAGGACTTCAAAAACGTTCTTCAAGTAAATGGCATTCAACACCATCGGACAGAACCTTACACACCACAGTTAAATGGTAAAATAGAACGTTTTTGGCAAACAATCTTTTCGGCTCGCCCAGATTTTATCGAAATAAGAGAATTTTTACCTCACGCAATAGAAGAATACAACACAGTATGGGTTCATACAGCTCTTAAAGATCTTTTCGGTGGAAAACCCTTACTCCAAAATCAATTTGGGACCAGGGTCCTAAATGGACAAAGGACTTAACCCAAATCCTGAGTTCGAAATACAGCCTCGTAACTAAAAATAAAGTAAAAATACGAATAAACATTTTATTATAATTTAAATAATTTTTTTTATTCATAAAGTAATACGATATATAGCTAAGCTATGTAAGGATATTCTGATGCTGAGAGTTTAAGAACTTTAAATTACGTATAGAAAAAAAATTCATTTAATATTTTGTAACATTTTTTAAATTGATAGATAGTTAGATTTTGTAGGGGAAGGTAAGATTCTTTGTGGTAATAATGGTCGTTGAAATTAAAATGAATGTAAGATTTGTGGAGAAATTGTATAAATTTGCATAGTGTTAGATTCAGAATAGGAGCATATGAGCCAGTGATTGTGTCTAATGTTTTTTAAGGTGCTAATTGGAAGTAGAAAAGAAAAAAATTTGTTGCAATAACATCATATTGCAAAAAAGTTTTTAAAATATGATGTATGAATAAGAGTATGATTGGTATAGATTTGGGTTGTATAAATGTGATTGAACAATTGTTAATGGAAAGTTCAAAAACTTGGGTGCAATCAGAACTGATTGCACCCAAGTTTTTGAACTTTGTATAAGGAATTGTTGGCTATGATGTACTGATCATGAATCAGTACATCATAGCCAACAATTCCTTCGCAAACAGCGGGAAACTTTGTCTGAATAGTTTAAATTCAGACAAAGTTTCCCGCTGTCAGAGAGGGAATGGAAGGGTAAGAGGTATATATTCATAATGTATACCTCTTACCCTTCCATTCCCTCGAGAAAGTTCAAAAACTTGGGTGCAATCAGAACTGATTGCACCCAGTTTTTGAACTTTGTATAAGGAATTGTTGGCTATGATGTACTGATCATGAATCAGTACATCATAGCCAACAATTCCTTCGCAAACAGCGGGAAACTTTGTCTGAATAGTTTTAACATTCAGACAAAGTTTCCCGCTGTCAGAGAGGGAATGAAGGGTAAGAGGTATATATTCATAATGTATACCTCTTACCCTTCCATTCCCTCGAGAAAGTTCAAAAACTTGGGTGCAATCAGAACTGATTGCACCCAAGTTTTGAACTTTGTATAAGGAATTGTTGGCTATGATGTACTGATCATGATCAGTACATCATAGCCAACAATTCCTTCCCAAACAACCCGAAATTTGTCTGATTCCACACTAATTTTATTAATTTATCTAAACTTTTATCTCTCGTCTACAATTTAATCATCAATAATTATCTCTTGTTCTATTTCACTATTATATATATATATATTTATATGATTTGATTTAAAAAAAATAAATAAATAAATTAATAATAAAAAAAAAAAAAAAAGGTAGTGGGGCCTCCAGGCACTTCGTGCCCTCTAGCCCTGAAGATGTTTAGTATAGCTTTGTCCGGACAAGTAAGGGTCTATCGTCACTACAGGAAAAGTTACAGGCGTTCCAAGGAAGTATACTTTGAGAAGCCTTTTCCCCCTTATAGAATGAGATAGGACGGTTATTTTACAAAACTGACAACACTTTGACCGAGTAGTTTTTTGTGCTGAACAAAAAGTGTCATATAAACATCTGTCAAAAACCGTTTTTTACTTCACTTAAAATGCCACGTAAGCTACGTAAGAATATACGTAAGAGGAAGAGAGCATTGAAACACCAATAGTAAAAACTGACACCACAACAACAGTTGCAACAACAAATGATGAATGACCCCACTATGTTGCAACAAATGTCAAGCAACCCTATGCTTTTAAACCGAGTTATTGGTGCACAGAGTGGAGGTTTAAGAGCGGCACTTTTAGCGAAAATGGCAGGCTATGGTGGAGCTGCAGACGGAACAGCTTATAACCCTCAAAGTCAAATGAATTTGAGTTCACTCAAAAATCAAATAACAGATGTCAAAAAGTCAAACATAGACATACAGAAACAAATAAGCGAAAACGAAAAGAAACTAGAATATGACAGACACACAAAGAAACTCAATGAGTTAAACGTAGAGAAAAAGAAGAAAGAAGAACAACTGAAAGAACTAAGTACAGAGGAATATGCGAAAAAAAGTGTCAGAAAAAGCAGCAGAAGTAGCAAAAATGGAACAAATGTTATAAATTTGAAAAACCATACTACTCAATATAAAGTACTGAAAGATGAAGAAATAAAACAAAAAGCCCTGAAGACATATATGGATAGCGATGAGTATAAAAAGAAGTTGAAGCAAATGTAAAGGCAGAAAAACTTTTACAGTTGCAAAACCAAACCGTACAGTATGAAAACTTAGCACAGAAAGTAAAAATAACGACGCAGCCATGCAAAAGGCAATGAAAAGCGCAGATATATAAAGCTAATAATGACTGGTTAGATGCCCAAGCCAACGCCAAAGCAGCCCAACTTATAGGGTCAATAAGGACAAAAATACAAGCGGATGAAGACAGTTCAAATGAAGCTTTAATGAATGCTGACTTTAAGAACGCCTTCGAGCTCTTCATAGTAAGGTGAAACTAGTGAACGACTTCTCATCTGGAAAGAAAACTGAAGTCTGAAGGTTTCGACAAAGAGTTAAAAGAAGTAGCACAAAAATATGACGAAAATAACAGATGCAGCAACGAGACAGGCAGTTCAAAGTGCCTATGACGCCGTTAGAGCAACTGTTGTGGAAAGTCAAGAAAAAGAGTTACAACAGACCAAAACAGACCTAGTAAATGCTTTCTTAAAAAAAAGAATCAGTAGGACATTATGCTGCAGATGGAACATATGTGCCAGCTGGTGGAACTTATATACCAGCTGGTGGAACTTATATACTAGCTAGTGGAACTTATATACCACCAAAACCCTCCAAGAGAAGCACCTGCACCAGGACTACCTAAAACATTTACATCGTCACATGGACACAGACACAGGCATGCACCAAAACCAGCACAACAACCAACAGTTCAAAACACTTCACCACAACCAACAGTTCAAAACACCTGCACACAACCAACAGTTTCAAAACACTGCACAGCAACCAACAGTTCAAAACACTGCACCACAACCAACAGTTCAAAACACTGCACAGCAACAACCACAAACAGAGCAAGGACATAAAAGAAGTGAGAACAAGGAAACCAAGAATTCTTAAAAATGCTTAAGGAAAATTATGGTTACCCAGATACTCTTGACTTTAGTGACAGATATAAAGAGCTATTAGAAAGTTCAAGGAAGGAAATACTGACCCGAACCTATTTAGCTTTATGGTTCAGCACCAAATGGGATATAATTTCAAACCTGGAAAATACAAGCTCGCTAAAGGGATATGATTTAATAGCATATCATCCAAATGACATGACTGAATTTACTCCGAGATATTTGGTGTCAGAGATAAATGATAATTCAACTATCTTCATGAAACGCGTAAAAAATAGAGACGGAACGAAAGAAGAAAGGTTTATGAGTCCGGATGACTTAGATAGGGAACTTTTTAAAAACGGTCTCGGAATATATGAAATGCCAGCAGATGAGGTACAAGAAACTCCACAGGAAGAAGTTCAGATACAACCAGACATGGAAGAAATAGTTCAGCAACAACAGCTAGAAGAGCCTGAAGGAAACGAACAAGGCCCTCCTTTGGAAAACTAACTTCACAAACTAGATGAAGATTTGGAACAGCCGAAAAATCTTGACCCTCAAACAAGAGTATGCGGAGAATATGGAATCTTTCCAAGAGTCTAAGAAAAATTCGGCTGACATAGTAGAAGAATATCGAAAAATGTTCGCCGACATACAAAAGACTCCAACATCAGATGAAAATATTCAGCATAGAATGGAAGAACTGAAAGAAAGTGTACGCAAATACAAAACAATCCTTTTTACTTACGACCATATAACGTTTCAATCTTTGGCTGAACTCGGTGAAAATAAAAGGTTAAATTTCAACAAAACATATAGAAATGAACATGTTTAAAGTTCATTCAGAACCTAACCAATATGGAAACAAACCTACTTTTGTTTCTGCAGACTATGGAACTACAATGAGATGGGGTCACTAAAGCTAATCCGGATAGGTGGTTCATAAACTTACAACCACAATTCCAAGAAGTTGTAGACGCAATGGAAGTGAATGGTGA